CATTTTGTGTTCTCTAGTGGAATACGCTGGTTTATATATTGTGAGTAATCAATAAAGATGCAAAAAAAAAAATTTAAGGATAAAAGGAATACACATATATATGTGTTAACTTATGAAGTGTGGTGTGGGAATTATTAAAGAAGTAGAGCACAAATGTAGAGAGAGAGGTGCAGCTCACACCGTAGACGTGGATAGAGCATCCCCAATAAGAGGAGATGAAAGTAAACCGATAAATAAATAAATAACCAAAAAGAGGCCTTCCCTCAAGTTGGGACAACAGTGGAGACATTTATTCTTCATTTCTCACCCCCCTGCGTATAGAAGAAAATGGTTTGAAATATTTTTATGTGCCAACACGTCCTGTTTGTCTTCAAGGCTTGTAGTCAATTACGCTGCTGGGACTCCTGTGTCATCATGCCCCCTGGCAACAAGCAGGAGGTGCCATGTAGACGTCATTTGAGGAAAAATTGCGTCATTGAAACCGGTGATGCCGCACTTCACCACTCGTCTCCTGCTTGCATGTCAACAGTGCCGTTTTTTTTTTTTTTTTTTTTTTTTCTATAACGTCGAATGCATAAATAAACTCCACGTGTCTCAAAACGCCTGGCCGGTGCAGCCTTTCGCAGCCGTGTCTCCACATCAATTGGCCGCATGCCTGCCTGTAATGCGGCGTTCTGTTACGCATGACACGTTTGCTGCAACGCATTTCTGTGCTTATTGAGAAAAGCCCACGCATGATATCAAAGAGCATCAAAACAAAAAAAAAAGAAAAGAAAAGGGGGGGAAAAAGAGGTGTTGTCATCAACAATAAAAAGTACATCAAGCACAGAAATAAAGAGAAATATGTACATACAAACAAAATAAAAAGAAGAAGGAAAAAAAAACACAAGAAATAATTAATCACTCAGAAAGAAGTAAAAAAAAAAAAAAAGAAAAAGAGAAAAGCGGCTATAAAATTAAAAATAAAACAGTATTTAAACAGTGAGTAAGGTAAAAAAATAAAAAAAAAAAATCTATATAAAAAGTAAAGAAAGGGGCTCGGTAATAACAACACCTTCTGCAGAAAACTCTCCATTCATCCCTTGTGCTGTATGCATAGGGTGTGTCCTATTGCTAGACGTGTCCTAACATTACGATATGCTTCATTCTCGGATTTATTTATCCTTTTTCAATGACATGTAGGGCTACTACAAAACGACGCCACAGGCAAGCAATCGCTTCTCGGCAGAACAAATGTTCTCTCGTTCTCTCTCATACTCCAGGCGCATTTCTGCAAGCGTCCGCACCTCCCGTGAAGGTGACGGCGTTCGCAACACAAACAACGACGGCGCCTTCACTGCCAACTGCCGAGTGGCTGAAGAGGCATCACGCGGTGGGCGGCAACGCGGCGGTGGCGGCGGTGGGAGTAAATCCTCCACCGATCCATGACGGCACGCATGGCAATCAAAAGAGGAACTTTTAGTATTCGCAACGCTGGCTTCAGTGTTGCGTCGAAATTTGTACGATATTTGTGGTGAGGAGGAAGGAGAAGGCATGGAGGTGCAGTCCACTTGTTGCTTCTTCACAGGCGCTGGAGAAAAGGAGAATTTTTTCGGTGAAAAAATTTGAAAATCCTCCATAAAACTGCCAAGACGATCAATTTCCGCCTGAAGTGCTGTCAACTGCCGTTGCTGTTCCTCCACAGTATGAGAAAGCGTTTCAGTCATCTGCTTGAAATCCTCCTCCGTGTCGGATGTTGTTTTCTGAAGTAATTTCGGCGTGTTATCGGTAGGCGGTTCATCGTCAGCAACAAGTGGATCCGTGGTGGAAAGAATGGGCTCATCGCAGAGCGGGACATCTTGTACGTCGTTGCTCTGCTTCTCGGACAGGCAATTTTCAACATCCGGCGGCGCCTCAGCCTCCACTTGATGAGCATTTGTTTTCGGCTCCTCATCGTTGTTTTTGTCACACTGCGTTGGTTCCTGCGTCCCCTTGTCGCCATACTCAAAAAGTTGTGCACGTGTCTCTTCTGTTGGTCCGATCGTCATCGTGAAAATCATCTTGGGATCTGCATTAAGTTCTTTAGAACGCGTCTCCAAGTACTCCTCCTCTGTGCCGTAGTGCGCCGCTACTTCACTCGCAGCAGAAGCAACACTCTCTGGTTTGTAACACGTGTACAGTCCCTCAAGACGCCTCACAAAATATTCCTTCGTTTCCTCCTCCGTTGGATCGGCACCGTGATTCTCCCGCAATGAATCAAACAGCTTTTCCCCCTCCTCGGCATATCGACGAATGTACTCTTCCAGCGCAGGCAGCTTCTCAGGCACCCGCACACCAAGAAAGCTGCTCAGGCGTCGTTTGAGGCTGTGAACCGGCACCACATTCTTTTCTCCCACGGAGTCAACTTTATCAGCCGTCATGTCTTTTATCGTTGATGGTGTTTTCATCACCTCAACGGGCTGTTCCGCCTTTGTGACCACCGCAGGCTGTGGGTCAACTTCTTCATGTACCGTTTTGCGTGGCGCTTCATTGGTGGGGATGCGTGTTGTGTCATGCAGGGGATCGGGCAACGGTCCCTGCGGCTCCGGTCCCATCTGCTTGATGAAAGACATCAACGTCGCCTCCTCTCTGCCCTTCGAACGCTCCAAAATCCTGCGAAGTCGAGGCAATCTTTCGGGACGATACGCCAAAAGGTGGCGCGCAAAACGTGACTCCCACACCTTTGCATCATCAGCGGCGTTCTCCGTGAGCGGAGGGGCAGGCGTTTTTGCGGCGTCATTAGGCTCCGGCCCGTAGCGCCTCACCAGCGTCTGTATCAGTTCCTCCTCGGTTCCCGTCCAGTGGCGAAGAATTACCGGCACCGTATCAACTTTATCCGGGCTGTAATGCGCGTAAAATCGGCGAATACGTTCCTCAAAGGCTGCAGAAAAACCTGTCGCATGCGCACCATTCGCAGGAACTTTGGCTGTAGCAGCAGGAGCAGCAGGAGAGGGAAGAGAAGCGCGTTTCGCTTTCCCAGTCTGCGCTTTGGGTGGCTCCTCTGACTTCTTCGATAAGATCGACCCCATGTTGTCTCGGCGAAAAAAAAAAAAAAAAACCAGCACTCTTACAGATAAATGAAGTATTCCTTCGTAAAAAAAAAAAAATAATAATAATAATTAAAATATAAATAAGAATAGGAGTGAGAGAACATATATATATATATAACAACAACAACGGTCATGACGCCATGTCAAGCATTATCGTTTTAAGAGAAACACGACAATACATATAGGCATCAACGTGCACGTACGCATGTAAGTGTGGATGGGCAGGCAACAGTACGTAGCAGTCATATTCACGATATTCGGTGTCGATAAAACAGTTCACGTCAAGAAAGAAGAAGAAAAACAATAACAACAACAACAACAAGAAAAAGAGGTACAGAGACGTACACAAATAATTAAAAAATAATTGTATTACATTCGTCGCATATTCACTTGCTTTATTGTTTTCCGCCCCCGCCATACGAGACGATCAGACAGCGAAAGCTTTTCTTCTCGCCATCGCTGCAGCTCTTCCTGAGAGACCTCCGGCAGCGACCATATGTCCGGATCAACAGTTTCCCCGCAGGTTTGAACGGAGGGTAAAAGCGGCGCAGGTTGACACGATGGAGGCGCCGGGTGTGGGTGAAAGAATGCGTCAAGGCGCCGTGAATTCTCTGCCTGCTGCTCCTCCGTAAGACACCACTCCACACTAAATAACCGGATAAAACTCGAAACATCCACCGCACGCTGACTGCTTTCCGCACGGCCATTCGCCAGACCTTCACTGCCACTCAAATTGTTGCGTGTATCCTTCACGGAGTCACCCGGTGCCACGGCCGTATCTTCCGTGGACGCCAAACATGGCTTCTCCCATTCCTGATCAGCGGAACACTCTTCAATGACTGAAGGCTCAGGGCCGAAGCGACGCACAAGTGCCTTCATCAGCTTCGCTTCT